TTTTTGACATGCACATTCCAATAACAAAAAGTTGATCCCTAAGAGCACATCTCGTTGGAATAAGGGCGGGGCTTACGAGCTCCGGCGCAGGCTCCTTACGTACTAATTACTGCTTAGCGAGACTGCTGACAGTTGATCTCCTATAAATACGTAGCGCTACATCTAAGATGTACCCAATACACACCTTCAATGATGATAATAAGGAATGCAAAACAAAATTTTGCGTAAAATAGCTTGATTTGATGCTTCAAGCTTTTGATTTTTTTCCTCACTATGTCAAGAGACATACGAGTGCGTCATTATTGTCGATGTTCCTCATGTGGCATCCGACTTCAGACGGGGACGAGTTCAACTAAACAAAATTTCTGATACAAGATTCCATCCAATCGACATAATATATAAAAGCCTCTGAGAAACGATATATGGCGAAATGCGTTGAATAATCTGAGCCTTTGTGTCATTGCAACTTACTGTGATACTCTCTTGTTTTGAACATTTATCGCCAATAATTCTCTTATCTCTTAGCTTTTTTCTGGGTTTCAAATGAGCTAGCTTATCCTAATCTTCCGCTTATTGTGAACCATTCATTCCGCAGAGGGGTGAATGTGCGTGGTTGAAGCGGTGAGTTACTACGCGTATTAACTCAAAGATGATCTAACACCATTAGAAATATGAATTACTTATTTATTAGTATGCCGAACCAATTATAATGACCATTTGACATCATGTTTCGTGCTAAGATTAGGTTAGATGCTTGAAGGCAGCGCTAAGACCGTCTACGAACTTACGTCTTAAAGCAGAAAATTCAACAAATCCTAAGGTCAAATTACTTAAAATTAGCTCTTTTAGTATACTTAACACCTAAAAGCGTTTTAGTCAAGGAGTTATTAAGGATTAGGCAGTAGGAATACTGGAATTGTCCTGATACCTAGCAGTCGCCAAATCTTTTTTCTTCTGATTGATTTGGTAATATCATCACTTGTCAATTTATTATTACATTGCAACTCTGTATGTCTTTTAATTACTTGCCAAAAAGCTCTTTCTGAAATGCAGGAAGTTTAAACGGAAATGATGCTCAAGCTATCCGCAATTATCTATTAACTGGAGCATTTAGGCCTCGGCGGCAGGTCTCCGGAGAGTGAGCTGAAATTCGTTTTTTTTTTTGTAAGAAAGCAAAGGGGATATCGTACGGATCCAAGGT